TGAGATGGCATGCCAGGTGTTGCGAGAGAAGATGGAATGGGAGGGGGTAAGTGAGAGGGTCGGGAGGGGGTGCGAGATAAGATTTTAGCGTAGAGTAGGCGAGGATGGACTTCAATTATTTATTTTTGAAAATGATCGAATTTACTCTGAAGGTATACACTTATCTACACTACAGACATTCACTGTAGTGAATGAGGGTTACAGAATGGATGCTGTCAGAAGTGTGAGGACAATTTAATTATTGTTGTTGGGGGTGCGAAGGGGAAAAAAGGTTGAGAACCACTGCTTTACCATAACAAGGTAATCGCATAATGAGCAAAGATGCGTCAGGAGAACAGAAAAACGAGAACGATTATCTGTCACTGAATAAGCAACCAAGAGCATAATTACTTGCTGTGCCATACATACACTTTCTGGCAATATTCCGGTGCAAAAATTGCTATTATGTAATGGTCACATCAATTTTTTGCTCTTGAATTAGAGTAAAAAATTATACCAAATGTGGATACTGCAATTTCAAGTCTTCGCCTCCTAAAAAAGTTAATTGTTGATCACAGAACGAAAAGAATCGAATCAAATTATTGTTTTATTCTAGCAAATAAGAAAAATGTTTTGCAGGGGAATGCTGGAGTGACAAAGTGACGACCGCATTAAGCACATCAACGTCTGACTCTGTATCAAGATCAAGAGAAGCATCGTCCACCACGGTTAACAGCATTATGATGACGACATATTTCGTTTAGTGTTTCGGATCAGTTTTTTCCCATTGATCACTCTGTTATCACTGACCTATTTAGCTTGATGGCGAAGCTGATTAATTTTCAGAATCATGAAACTTTGTATTTCTGGCTGGTTATCGGATTAGCAGTACTGTGTCTTGTATTGGTGTTACTACTAGTTTTTGCAATCACATCCGCTGCTTACTTTTACAGGCATTCACCGTAAGTCTTGTTATCTCAGCTAGTTGTCATAATACGTAATTGACGGCATCCATCGTTCATGGGTTCGCTTGATGAGTGGATTCCTGTGAAGTAGTGTAAAAAAGCGATCTATTGTAGAGCTGGCTTTGAATTATAATGTAACTGTAAGATTTTTTCGTTCATTTTGAATGAACAAGAAAACATATTGGTTTCGTTCGAAGGCAGTCGGAGAAGCGAACCGTAGCACCAACTGTGGAAAGCTCATCATATTGGCCGCATTATGCATCTCGGAGTGAATTGCCAACAAAGAATGCTCATCCGGCATCAAACGTCGACTGCTCCATTACGTCGACTGCTACAGATGTATCGATTTAGTTTCTTTCACGTAATTCGTCGAAAGCGTTCTCTTTTCAAGCAATTAATCTGAATATTCATAAATCGAATATTTTCTGACGTAAAATTTCCATTCTTATCTCCTCATTGAATGGCATTTCTTGATGCCTCTATATTTTGGTACGATGCTCACTGAATGTGTTAAGTTATTTGATAATCGCAAAATCCACTGAAGGTGAATGAGTCGTCTGATTCGTGGCCAACAAAAGTTACACATCGGGAAGCTCGCGTCTAGAAAATGAAGTATCGATTTTGATGGACAATGTTCTCTGATCTCTTCACGTTCGAAATCAAGACATACGATCAACTCTTTCCACAGCGTCAATTGAGAAATAATTGCAATTGTATTCTTCGAGACGTTTGCAGTAATTATCGATTTTATGAATAACCGTTACAACTAAATAAATGTCAAAAAAACCCATTAAATTGTTTAATTTCGAATGTTCTCAAGCATAGTTAACAACTTATGTTTTGTGCCATATTGTATAAATGATATGCTGGCGATATTATTTCAACCTTCCTCATGCGTTTAGTGATTCGTTGGGCTGATAGTGAAGTCTCAACGGAATCAAACCTTGATTGATGCGATAGAGGATTGAATTTCAGAGCGATGAAAAATGAACCTTCGATAATTTGTTGTCCAACCGTTATACCAAGATGAAATTAAACCTCTCTGCTCAACAAAAATGATAAAAGTGTTTCGATAACGCCACCTAGAGCACTCATGATTTCAACGATGGCTTTTATGCAACAGTTTCCAAGTCGTTGTCTCTTTTGTCTTTATCGAAACAAGGTCTATCAAAATCACGCTTTTGGTGAACCAGATGAATTTAAGTATAGAATAAATGGACTGAAATCTTCGAGTTCAATCAAGTTCCAGAACAGATGCTCAATTTACAAGAAATTTAACGATTACCTGGCACAACAAACTTCTGCAAGATTCATTCACAATACTACAGAAGCGAAGCGTAACGCACCGCAAAAGCTCTTTCTGAAAATGATATGTTCCTATGATTTATGAATTGTCAGTTATTGCTTAGTGTCATTTGAATTCGAAAATAAATGTGTTTGTCTGTTGGTGATAAATTTTTTTAAATGATAAAACAACATGCCGAGAAATAGGCAATTTCTTGTTCTTTCACTCATTTCATTCAGTGAATGTACAGTCGAACATATCACATTTCCCATCTTCCAACGCTCCTTGCAGATTCCTGATGCGTCAAGTAATCTTTCTGTTCGTATTATTTGCTCGAATTTATTTATGCATTACCAACTTCAATTTATGGATGAAAATATCTAGCTGAACATTCCATTTCTGATTTTTTGCAAACAAAATGAATCATAGCATGGAAGTTCATCACTAATGCTGGTAAAATGATAAGGTATCGTTCAGCGTTTTGACGCTTTGTGCTGGATACAGTGAACGAAGCATGTGGCTAATTTTAGTTTACGTTGACTTGATACGGTACCTGCATGAGCGTAGGTGAAAATTGAAATGTGAGCAATTTATCAGCATTAATGGACTTTTGTTGACATAACGACTCATCAAATGATCGATGGAGTGGGTCAAGTAAGGTGGAATGACGCGACAGATGAAGACGTTTGCTGATTGTTGATAAAATGAAGAAGGAAAATGAATATAATTTGAAAGAGGCGGCGAGGCGTCACTAGCGTAAGACAGTTTGCAAACGGTCAACATGAACGTCGATAAGAGGAGCGATCGCTTTTGATTTTAGCGTTATGACTTGATATAGTTGCTGAAGAAATGAAAATGGCATGCTCATTTGAACAGATAACGCTCTCGTTCAACAAACATTTCAATCGTAGGTGCCAATAGTACGTTAGATACATTCAACAGTGATGGTCTGTTTTCGATTTCATGATGTTGCCTTGCTTATAAATTTGTTCTTAATCCTTGCTTCGAGTGCCCAGTATCTACCACCACAACAACAACAACAACCTCAACCTCAACAAAGGTAAAACAATTACTGATTCATACTTATCGATGTCTGTTTATTCATATAGCAATTCTCCTTTCCGATAATTCATTTTTCAATCGTATCTTATGTTTGTTATCACTGAGTGCTCATATTCTTGCGAGATTGCACTCGTTTAGTTTTTTTCCCAGCAATTTCGTATTGTGCATTCGAACAACTACTCTAGTCTAGATAATTTTTCTTTATTCACAATTTTGCTTTTAAGTGCGCATTATACCACTGAAAAAGTTGCAAGAGATTCGTTGTATTTATATCAGCACCGTTCCGATCATTCTTGCCAATCTACTAGTAGCGAATCCTTCATTCACTAGCGATTAGTTCTGATGAAGTTTTTCCAAAATAAATGATCAAGTCGGCAAACTGCTATAAGTGAGCATACATGAAAGGAAGAAATCAATGAAAGCTTATAACAGTTGAACAAATCCAAATAAATACAAGAATAAGAGACCAAGACTGTTGATTCGTTGATGAATTGCTGAAGCTCCAACAAAAGCAGCTCTCTCAATTTTAAGTCATGAAAGACAGTGCGGGTTGGTAGGCCTTCAATAAGCCTGATTTTATGAATTGCAGATTTCTCATCAAGAAGCATTTTCTGAAGAGACACGAACGCAAATACTCAAAATTTCAAAGGTGCAACTAAAAGCACGATCTTGTACAACAACAGTTTACAAATACAGCGATGCGAAATATCATCATAGCATTAGATGGTTCATACCAAGTGACAAAACTTGTGTATTGTGATTTGCATAGTTGCGATGCTGAAATTGTCATGTAGTGATCGCACACTCCACACAACTCAATGTGAATAATTTACTCATAGTCAGATGCTGGATTATTGTTTTGAATGAATCATTTATTGATAGAGTGACACACACACACACATGAAGCTTGAGATGGACTGTTCATCTTTAGATCAGATCAGTTCGCTAAAGGAAACTGCGATACCTGTGCGCTGTAAAATGTGAAATGAGATGTTCAGGTTGAAGAATGGAAAGTTGAAGCAGTCATTGCTCTCAACAAGTGGAATTATATAAAAATTGTTTTTTTTTTGGAAAAACAGTTAAACTCCATCAGAATTAAATGTGAAAGAGAGCAATGGAATTAGAACTGAGGTTCGTGAAGGTTCCCAAATAATTCTAGTTTCAAATCTACATCATTTGTTCAAACATGCTGATAGCCAAGCAGAAGCATGATTGTGATCTGTAAGTTTAGAACTTCTGATTATCCTCATTGCGCAATGAATGGATTACCCAGTGCACGTACGTTTCACGAGATACATCGCACATGAATACTCTCTAAGGTTTCCAAATTTTCACACTTTTCCCATGTTCATGGTTTGAATACTCCGGAAACTACCTGTGTACTCTCTCAAGGATGACTTAATCAGTGATGATTGTTCTTTCATGAATTTTTAAGAATAACTTCACCTAAATGATACACCATAAGCATAACAATCACCTTGTTTGTGATACATTCAAATGCTGATATAGTAGTACGTTCTTGTTAGTAGTTACTGATCATTTCTTCACTCTTTGCTCAACAAATCTCCTTATTTTGCATTGAACCATTGGTAAGCGCCAGAAGATGAGTGCCATATGTTAACTGAGTCCGATCTACTGAGAGCTTCTCCAAAACATTGTAAAAATTTCAAATGTACGAATAACTACGCGCAAACATTTCCATTTGCAGATATGGGCAACAACAACATCCTCAGCAACGTTACCAGCAGCCATACATGTTCGGTGCTCAGTTCAATCAGCAACAACGTAATTTACAGCAACAAGCCTATCAACAAAATGCTGTAAACCCGAAACGTGCCTCGTATTCAAGTCGCTTCATTAACACGCCAGTTGTAACGGTATATTGCTGCATCGTGATTATCTTCTATTGAATGAACTTAAGCGGACTTTGCACGATGCACACACATTTTCAGGCGAATACTTCCAGTGGTGCATTAATGCAGATTCGACTAGTCTCATATACAAACGAACAACTAAGTTTGCCACATGGCAAAACATGTGTATGTCCTCAAGGCAAAACATGTCCCTTTTTGAAACCTGGTATCCCGAGCTGTATGTTCTCGTTCACTATTATTGTTTCGGCTCCCGAGTAAGTACTACTCTTGTTCACTGATAGTCACAAAAAATTCAATTTATTTCTTGCAATCTGTTTTAAATTTCGATTCGGGTGTTTCATTTCGATTTCTTTTTTTCCGCAAAGCATTTTGTTTCTGCACCACGTCGTCCAGCATCATGTCGTCTATAAGTGATGAGCAAATCATCTTCCAGACAATCTGTTCAGTACATATCAAGTGAATTTATGCCAGCTACGGATCCAACTTTGAACTCTGGAAATTGGACGACTCTGCATACGATGAACTTGACCAGTAGACCGGTAAGTTCGTCTTCTCTAAATGTCTTACTGTGTTCAGTTCCGTTTCTGGCTTTAACATTAAAGAAAATAGCTGTTTTGAAGTGACCATCTTATTGAATGATGGTCGGTCGGATTATCGCACACTGACAGCATAAGGTCAATGAAGGAAACATATTGAGTGCAAGTAGGAACCGATTCATTATCAGCTGAAATCCGAAACTGGCATTGACGACATCATAAATCAACGTCGGCAGCTGTTTGCCTTCACTGCATTGTAAATCATCGTCTCAAAATCAATTGAAAAAAAAATACTCGTTCTTTTTGAAGATGGCAATCGATGTCTTTGTTCATCATTTGGGTGTCGTAATTGATCAACAGACCGCTCAACTTGAGTTCTATAATTATGTCGTTCTTGTGGATACGTTTGTTATACCGTTAGCCAATTATGATGCTTCACAGGGCGCCGGAACGTCAACTACTGCCACTGGTATTCTGCAACAAACCCAGTAAATTTAATATATTCACATTCCATCTGAAAATACTGTAAGCATGAAATTCGTGCTCGGCTGATGCAATCTTTTATCAAGAGCATTGATGCATGGAGTCGTTTCATTTTAAAGTAGAATAAAAATTCAGTCACTATTATTATTTCACATTATTTTGAAAATATATTGAAAGTGGAGATAGATTTGTGTATCGCTCAAGCCGTTATACTTGTGCATCCTCGATGGAAAGTAAAATATCGAAGTATATGATAGACGTTCCAAGAAAGCGCGTTGTTTTGAGTATTAGTTTCTTGTTGTTTTTTTTTCAAGTAAAGACTCTCCAGGAACGCTTTCGTAGTTATAATTCCATCTACCTTATTCATTATGTGATGGCTGAATGTGGATGCCTTGGCTGAAAGTCATGCTTTTCAGTATTCATGAATGTTTTACTTTCAGACTCCAGTTGGAGTATAGTGTACAATGTGCGAATGGTAAGCAAGGACCAAGTTGTGATTTGACTTGCACACCTACACCTGGTGATTCTAGTTCTGCAGTATGCGTTTCATCAATTACTGGCGTTGTGCAATCTTGCGAATACAGTGGCGTTCAAGTGAGAATTAATTGTCCTCGTATTCAAATTCATTTCTCCATATGTCGAACGTTTCTGCATAATTATAAGTTATAACAAATGAATTTTATCTAACCACTTTCATCAACTGATCTCACGTCAGTTGATCATATAATTTATATTTCACCCAACTTCCTTGTCATCTTTCAAACTTACAATGAATTGTAATCAAAAGTGACCTTCTTCTGATAACAGTGACCAATAGATTTATTCATTTTCAATAAATGTTGGTAGAATTTTTATCATCTTCACAAAAAGCAAGATGAGTGACTGATTCAAGGTTACCAACTGTCAAGTATGTGCCTATGGTATGGATGCCAATCAAACAACTTGCCTACAGGAACCGCAGATTCTACAGAGCAGTGTGAGTGAACGAACTAATTCCTAAACTTCATCCACAAAATTTTTCATCTAGAATTTTCATTCAGGCCGTCTTCCAGTGCTCCTAAACACTTCACGATTTCTAGCAATCTTTCAGTTGCTTTCCCTACCAGTAATTTCAGAAGCAAACTTATGGCTTTTCCGTACTGCTCTGATGATTTGCTCGAAAGCAGAAAGCTTCATGAATCAACATGCAATTAACCTAATGTTTTCAATTAGTCAATCTTTTTGATTATAACCAATGAATTTTTACAAAGCTGTTTTGTGATTGTCACGTACTTCGTATGCGAACCTCAGTCAGCATGAACACGTGAAATACATCCAGCTTTTCAATTAGAACTACCGAAATACACCTCACTTATAGGTCGGCGACGTATCGTCAGCGTATCGCGTTTGGACGATCGTTCTTGGCTGTTTGTTGGGTGTATCAATTATTTTCATCATCCTGTTGATCATATTCTATGTGATGTGAGTTGGTTTTTGCGAGAACACTTGATTCACCTAACAAAAATCTTATATCAATAAACACAACCGGCATCAGTTTAAAGTTGAGATACAACCGTACATCAAAAACCTTGCTGTATTTTGCAGCAGGAACCGAAGGTGCAAAAAACGCAATGGCTTCAATAATTGTTTTGTAGTAGCGATGGGATCCGACCGACAATTGGTCGGAATAATCCGACAATTTCGGTTGGAATCCCGACGGTCGGATTCCGACCGAACCATGCCGACAGCCGGTTGGAATTCCGACTGTCGGAATGACGAAATGCCAACTCGGTCGGATTACGACCGACCGAACTTTCGCTCGGAACCCATCACTATTTTGCAGTCAATGTGTTCCAATATACTATGGAATTCTCCGGTGTTTATTTACTTTCAAATCATAACAGTAGCATGATTTGCTCTCCTGATGTTTCAGGATGATGTCTGAACTCTAGGCATGAGCATTTTTGATAGATGCAAGAAACTCTTCTTCATCTTCTAAAAATGCTGGTCCCACCTGCCACATAACAATTAAAAAGTTGGTAGACCAATAGAATGTAAAACTCTTTGAGTGGGGAGCTGAAATTGCGCTGATCCGGTCTACCTATACATTTCTGTTTTGTTGTTTTGTTCAGTTTCGAATTCTGGGGTATGGAACTGATTCGTTTTAATAATCTGCACTCATTCTGAACAAATGAAACTGTTGACGGTAGCAAGTGGTGATATTCGCCGCACGTACGGGTGCTATTCATGTGAATTAACTTACATTTCAGTGCTCGAAATCAGCAATTATCAGATGAAAAAGAACGTCAACATCAAGATTATCTTCCAGCAGCATATACGTCACCCGGCACACAGCCACTCATGCAAAAAGATGACGAATGGGATCGTGGAGACACACGAGCAACCGGCAATCTTCAATCATCGTCACACGACAATGAAACCATAAGCAATGTACGATGAGCATTCATTTATCGGCTGATTTCTAAAGACCAAGAACAATTTGAGTTGAAACGTTTCTTTGAAAAAAATTTCTTTCAGGAGAGTTTTGCACGAGGAAGCAGAACAGCAGCTTCTAAAAGAGAAGCACAAGTGTGAAATCTGAACAAGAAATCAATCACTGAAATCATTCCATTATCATTGTGATTATTTGTTTCGTCGCTGATTACGCTCAAAATTCGAACCAGCAAACTAACATCGTAACAAAGTGATGCATTCTTCGTAATTAATGATTTGTTCAAAATTGGAATACGCTACTAATCAGTTCTGAAGTACCTTTTGAATTATGCATTCGGAAAAATCTGAAAATTTCATAGATGTGAGTTAACCAGTGTTATGCCCAGTAGAGTAAATGAAGCAAGGGAATAGAGAGCGTTCTAGAAGATGATTCAAATTCGTTCATGATTGTCTGCAAAAGCACAAAAGTTTCTTAAGCGAGGATTCGCGATAAAGAATAAACACTGTTTTGATTGCAGTGATGAGATATAGTGCATTATTTTATTATTGGCCCATTAGGAATGTTTTTTGGATGTCGCTTATTTGTCGATTTGCTCTGTTCATTATGCTACAAATATAATCGTGATTCTTCAGTTATTCAGCCATGAATATGCAAATTCACATTTGAATAAATATGTTCCATAGCACTGCAACAGCGCTCCACTGAACATTCATGCTGACAATAACATTGTTGTTTCCACCAATTAAGTTTTTAGGAAAATGATCTTTATGCATCGCTTGCATCACTTCTAAATATGTTATGAAGCATTGTTGAAGTGTTAAGGTCCGTTCGTCATAAATGTGGCTATTTCATGTGCATTTATTCAACAGTCCTCTGAACTTCTTTCGTATTTCATTGATGTTTTTAGTCACACCTTATACTGTTATCCTTTTATTCTCTTGAGTTATACCACGTCTGATTTCACTTCAAAGCGCTAATGTGTGTGGTTGTTGCGTTCATTTGCTCGTCTTTTTTTGCACTCTCTTTTTTCAATCATTTCTTCTACAATTCATGTTTGTTGATTACCTTCTGTAATGTTTGTCCACCTTTAAATTTAGAATAGGCGGAAGATACGCAGGATTGAACACTTTCAGCAATTGCATTTTTGAAAGCAAATTACCTGGGATAACTGCATTATACTATTGATTTGGAACATGCATTTATGCAGTGCGTCCTATTTAATACGTCGAACTAAGCAAATCACCAAAATGCTCTCATCTCATTGCTACCGTGCGTACATTCGATCCGAATTTTTAAATATTCTTTGTGTTGATTCACCGCCTTTGTAAATGAATTAATTGAATGTGCTTATATTATGTGCTTACATGTGCTCATACATTGCAAGAGTGCTTATATTATCACTGTTGATACAGTTTCTGTTATTCTTTTCAGTCAGTTTTGAAATCATCAAGTCATGTATATTCTATGTCTCATTAATATTTAATTGATCATTCGAATAACGAATTTTGTTTCATTGCTTTATGAAGTTTTAACATAGTCATTCTGTGTCATTGTACGTGAAAGTACTTCCCATTTAACATGCAAATAAAATTACAGTCATTGTATTGGCAGTCGTTTCTTATAATTAAGAATTCATTTCAAACACACCTAAATTTTGATACGAAAGAAACATCATTTTATGTGTTCAATTCTTATTTAATAGCAAACGTTCGACTGACATTCGGTCTTTAGTATTATGTTAGCTGCGATCTTTCATCCGATGCTTTTCGTGCACTTTTCGCTTTTTCGAGTCCCAAACTTTCTGATTCGTTGTTAGAAGTTCATTTCAAATTTTGGCTTCTCTACGAGTTCATTCACATTTCACAAGTCCATGATTATCTAACATCAAAGATGATGCCACGTGACCGAGGTATGTTTTTAAACGTCTTAACTTCAAAGCACAAAACTGAGTTGCAGTGGAAGGGCGAAAGGAACGCACATGCATAGTTTATACTATTTTAAAGTGGGTACTTCCAACGCAACAATGATGGGAACGTTAAAATTGTTAACTAATGTTGATGTCAAAATAATAAAAGCTGCCATTTTTTGATTGATTTGACTCTCTTTCCTAAGAACTTGAGTACTTTTCAAAATTTTTGCACATACATTCAAAGAATTGACGAACTAAATGAGCCATGATCTGGTCACTCCAGCAGTTCACGACTAAATCAATCATGAGATTTCGAATCACGGATATTTCCGTTGCCTTCTCCACAGTAATTTTCGTGCAATGTCTATTTTGTGTTGAACACTACTTGCAAATGAGTTATGTTTGTTGTTGTTGAACGAATACTAATCGCAAGTTGAAATTTCATAACTTCTAAATGAATTTAGCTATCATACAGTTTGAACCGCAACCTGTTCTCGTACTGAGCATGTGGACTGTACGCTTTTACTGGCATAAAGATCCATTGCTGTTTGAAAATGCCATCGTGAATAACGCAGATGATGCAAGACAAGCTTTTGTATAATAAATGTTGCAACAATATTCATTCCCTCGCGATGACTGATTCACTTTTGATCGTTGGTTATTCAAGTTTTTAGCGCAGTTTTGAGGTGTTCACTCCAGTCATTTGGATAACAGTGATGCACATTCATCTCCCTCTTTTTTTTACTTAAGATAATGAAAATTTGCTGGATTTCTGGAAATGAAGATCAGAGAAATCCTTCTCCTTCACTCAGAGCTATCATGAGCTAAATCAATTAGGCTCCATCCAAATATCTGTAACTGCTGCAATCAATTCAGCATTCGTTGTGAATCATGACATTGATTATGTAATGTTAAGTGGGCAAATCATTTCTTATGCTTGTTTCTCAGTTTCTTGTTTACAACAATAAACTATAACCCGAAATGAAATAGCAATGGTTTGTTGCAATGATTGTGTTCAAATAACAGTGAATGAATAAAGTGTTGAACGTATCATGGTTACATTAGCAGGTAACAGCTAGGTCACTGACTGCCCTATAGATCGCGTTATGACTAGACTCCGACGCCTTTACTGACTCAGATTGGCAACGAAATGCTCTCAGTAGCAACCCCC